CACCTGAGGAGAAAGAAAGGTATGTAATATGGAATCGCCTGAAAAATGATTCTGTGTTCCGATGGCTTACCTTTGTCACCCTTAGGCCAGTTTAAGTGTCATGGTTTCCCCAGAATAGCAGTTTCCTGAGGGGGTTTGAGAATTTTCTGTAATAGATCTGCAGGCCCTCTGTTCCCACGGTTACTGGGAAAGAGAGATGTGAGCTAGGTGGATTCACCCTAAGTAGCCAAGGTGCCATTAACTAAAAACTCAGAAGAAGTTCTTTGCGGGTTCTGTAAAGGAGGGCAGAAAATACATTCTGCTCAAGCATTTACCTGCTCGTATAGGTCTCATGGGTTCCAGGTGGGAGGACGACAGGCTTATAAATATTTTAAAGAAAGAAAGAAATCTGCTGGGAAGGGGACCAGTTTTAAAAATATTTTTTAATTCTTATTGTAACTCTAAGAAACTGCAAAAATCCAGAAACTAGAGATAGTTTCAAAGTTTGTGCTCATCATCTCCGTTACCAATTAAGAATCAAGTTAATATTATTATTCCTACCAACTGTCGAATTAACACTCCTGTTTTCCTAATGGCTTCTTGGCTTTTTGGCGGAGCAAACATCCTCTGTTAAGTCAATCTGTTCCTATCTGTTTAATAAGTGCAGTTTTGTCGCTCATTTATCCACACATCTTCCAGGAAGTTGCTATTCTATTTGGGGGGAAAGTCACGTTTCCAGTACTTCTGGTGTTAAAACTCTTCCTATACAGCATGACAGCAAGCTTCACAGCCATCTGCCCTCCTGAATAATTCTGTTTTATATAGTTTGTGGAATGGCGGGAGCGTTGGGAGCCTTCCTGACCTCCTCAGGTAAGCCATTCCGCAAAGTGAGGGTTATGACAGAGAAGACACGTGTATGGGCAGTGGTCGATCTTGCCCCTTTGAAGGGCAGCACCCACAGAAGACGCGTGTATGGGCGGTGGTCGATCTTGCCCCTTTGAAGGGCAGCACCCGCAGAAGACACGTGTATGGGCGGTGGTCGATCTTGCCCCTTTGAGTTTTCCCCAAAAACCAGAGTGTCGCCTCCCAACATACCCAACATGCCTACGTCACTTCCGGGTCATGTAGGCACGTTGAATTTAATTTCTACATTCTTCCCTGTTGGGGGGTGGGGGTGGGGTAATCCAAGAGGTGGGCCCCAAAATTAAGGTACCCCTGCCCCATGAGGGGTTCTGGCATCACTAGTTTCAGGGTGTTAGCTTTCAAGAGTCAAAGCTCCCTTCGATGCCATTGTGAATTGGCAAGGTAACATCAGAATCTTTCCTTCTGTGACAATGACTATTGTTGGTGCCACCCTCAACAGATTAAAATGGCTGCCGCCTCTGGAACCTTCCTTTCCAAGATCCTTTCCACATTTACCTCTTCAAGTTAGAGCGTTTCTCCTCTTGCTTCTTTACTTCCGGCAGGCGCACAGCAGCCATGCAACTGGGCCTGAAAAAGGCGGTTGGCGTCCCTTTCTCACTGGCAGAAAAAGTTAATTCCTTATGGCCTTCCCTAAAAGAGATGGCTCGTCACGGAAACTTAGCCTGCAAATCAGACATCCAGGTATGTTGTTTAATTGAGGATCAGGCTAGGAAGGAAAAGGCTCTTCAGTTTTGTTTTGGTTTTTAGGATTGTGTAACTAATTAATTTGCCGGCTAAAACACGAGAGGATCCTAAAGGAATGAGGGAGGGGTAAGAGTCTGTAAACATTAAATGTATTAACAATCCACAAGAATAACACACAGTCCCAAGACAGTCTGGTATGAAAAAATATACAGATGTGTGCTAGATGCCCACAGAACAATGCAATAACAAAAGATATTAGATTAAACCCATAACATCATTTAGTGTCTGGTAATAACAGCATTCCATGCCCTTTGGCATTTAGTCATGCTGGCGCTTTTTGGAAACAAGATGGCGTCGTGAAAGGAGTGCCGGCAGCCTCGCTCCGTGGGAGAAATTTTATCTGCATTTTATACTACTTGCCTATTCAAACTATCTTCTCCACGGATACTCCTATG